CTCAGGGGCCTCTTCTCCCTGCTCTCTCCCGGGTCGAGTCGGCACAGGATTAGCCTCGGGGTCAGAGGGTGATAGGTGCGGCCTTCCCGCAGTGGCCGCCGGGCCATCCTGGGGGTCGGGGGCACCTGGCACCGTCTGACAAGCGGGCAGAGGGCCAGCTCCGGTCGTCGGGGGCCTTGGGCCACCGTTCGGCTCGGGGGCCTCTCCTCCCTGCTCTCTCCCGGGCCAAGCCAGCACAGGGTGGGGATGCGCGGAATGAGGATTATCCTCATCGCGCTCCACAACCAATGCTGCACTAACTACTTGCGGAGTCGCCGCTAAGTAGAGTAGCAAGGGCTCATTTGGCTCCGGGGCGACCAGAACTGGGGGAGAGCTGAGATACGCCTTCAACTGAGTGAGGGCACGTTCAGCTTCCTCCGTCCAAGTAAACGGCCCGGAGCGTTTGAGGAGCTTGAATAAGGGTAGCGCCTTCTCTCCCAGCCTTGATATGAACCGACTTAGGGCGGCCATGCAACCGGTGACGCATTGCACATCCCTAAGATTGCTGGGGGGCGCATCCGCTCTATAGCTCGTATCTTCTCGGGGTTGGCCTCGATGCCTCGGGCAGAGACCAAGAACCCGAGAAGCTTGCCCGCAGGTACACCGAACACGCACTTATCGGGGTTCAGTTTTATGCGGGCGGAGCGGAGACTCTCAAAAGTTTCCGCTAGATCTGAGAGTAAGGTCTCTTGGTTGCGCGTCTTTACAACCAAGTCATCGACATAAGCCTCAACATTACGTCCTATTTGGCTACCCAAAGAAATTTGAGTAGTACGTTGAAAAGTAGGACCTGCATTCTTTAACCCAAAGGGCATTGTCGTATAACAATAAGTTCCTATGGGGGTAATGAACGCAGTTTTTTCCTCATCCTCCCTAGCCATGCGAATCTGATGGTAACCAGAGTATGTATCTAGAAAACACAAAAGGTCGCACCCCGCGGTGGAGTCGACAATCTGATCTATGCGAGGCAGGAGGTAAGGGTCCTTAGGACATGCCTTGTTAAGGTCGGTGTAGTCGATGCACATCCGAAGCTTGCCGTTCGCCTTGGGAACGACCACCGGGTTCGCCAGCCACTCCGGATGGATGACCTCGCGGATGAATCCGGCCTCCAGAAGTCGCGCCACCTCCTCGCGGATGAAGGCTTGACGTTCCGGGGCTTGCCGCCGCACTTTCTATCGGACCGGCCTTGCGCCCGGCCGCACGGCGAGACGGTGCTCAATCACCTCCCTGGGGACCCCGGGCATATCCGCCGGTCTCCATGCGAAGACGTCAGCGTTTGCCCGCAGGAAGGAGACGAGCGCGTCTTCCTATTTGCCGTCCAGAAGACCACCGATCCGTGTGGTCTTGGACGGGCCGTCGCCCAGGGCAACCTCCTTGACCGGGACCTCGTCGCATGTGATCATTCGCTGCCTCGGGGCGGCGGGGACGGAGGTGCCAAGCCTCTCGTCGCCACCCTCGGGCTTGGACGCGGCGGAGAGGTGGTCCGCGCGCTGCTCCATACAAGCGAGCGCGACTTTGAGGTCGCCATGGACAGAGATGGGGCCACCGGGGCCCGGCATCTTCATCTGGAGGTAGGCATAGTGGACCGCCGCCATGAACTTCACCAACGCGGGCCTCCCCAGGACCGCGTTGTAGGGCAGACTGAGGTCCGCCACATCAAAGTTCACCCGTTCCGTGCGGAAGTTGGCGGATCCACCGAAGGTGACCGGGAGGTCGATATGACCTAGCAGCCAAGTGTGACCTGGCGTCACACCGATAATCGGCTGGGACGGCCGGAGCACCATCCCCGGGGCCTTGATGGTGTCAAAGGCTGCGGGGGAAAGGATGTTGAGGGCTGCTCCTCCATCAATGAGGACACGCCCCAGCTTCGCGTTGCAAACAGTGGGGGAAACCACCATTGCAATCTGTCCTCCCCGGGCAACGCACGGTGGGTGGTCGGTCTGGTCGAAGGTGAGGGTAACCTCTGACCACCGCGCCCGGCGCGTCGCCTCATGAGTAGGGGCCGCGGCCAGAAGCTCTCGCTTCATGGCCTTGAGGCTCCGGCGAGAAACGTGAGCACACGCTCCCCCATCGACGGTGGCAATGGTGGCCCCAGGCTCTTGGAAGCCTAGGTCATCATCGCCGTCATCAATGTCCTCGGCGGGGGCCTTCTGCTTGGCCTCACTTCGCCGATTGCCGGAAGGAACCGCCGGGGACTTGCCTTCTCGGCGCTCCTGCCTCCTCTCCTCCTCCTACTTCCTCGTCCGCTCAGCCAAACTTTTGACTGCGCGGCAGTCCGCGAGGTCGTGAAGGGAGGTGTTGTGGACGGTGCACCGCTTGCCGGTTGGGCGCTCCCTGCTAGGAGCGCTGGCCTTCTTCTTTTTGTCGCTCGCAGGCCTCCCCTTTCGGGTGGCCCGCGAAGCGCCCTCGACGGCGAGGACATGACCCTCGTCGTCGGAATGGGCTGACCTCTTCTTCCTCCTCCTGTCACGCCGCCCTGTCTGAGCAGCGGATCCGGGGGCGGCCGAAGCTGCCACACCGGAACCGGAGGGGTTCCAGGTCCATGCCTCCTCCTTACGAGCCACTCGGTCCGCGAGCTGAAAAAGCTCCGCGGTAGTCGGGGGCTCTTTGGAGGCGATCTTTTCGAGCATGCGGTTGTGCCGCACACCCCCCCTGAACGCGTAGATCACCGCGTGTGCAGGGATGCATGGTATGGTGTTGCGGACTTGGCAGAACCGCTGAATGTACGAGCGAAGTGACTCATCATCCCTTCGCTGTACTGCGTGCAAGTCCGCTTCCCCTACCTGGCGCGCCAGATGACGGAGCGGGAGGCTCCTCACCGGGAGACCGCGCAGGCCTCCCTTTGCAGGTTCGGCCGGGGACCCTGGGTGAGATTCTAAGCTCCTAGTTTGTGGAAGGTTCGCGAGAGTGGAAGAAGCACACAAGACACGGGCGATGTATACAGGTTCGGGCCGCTGAGAAGCGTAATACCCTACTCCTGTGTTTTTGGTGGATCTGTGTATGAAGAAGCTACAAAGAGCTGGAGAGCTAGAGAACTCTAACTCTCCCCCTCCTCCTTCTTTTTCTCTTTTCGTCCTGGATCCGAATCCCCCTTTCTAAGTGGGTAAGGTCCTCCTTTTATCTTTCAAGGGGATACCACATGCACCATCTCTCTTTCTTTTTTGTGGGGACTTCTCCTATCTTTTCATAAATGGACGGAGATTTGTATGGTTGCCGTCCGAATGATCTTCTGATGGGACGGCCCATACCTACCTCCACTTCCGCCGGAGGCAGGCGCGACGTGGGATCATGGCTGTCTGCTGACGACATGACCAGTGTCTGACCGGTCACAAATCGGTCATTCTTGTCCATCACGCGTCAGTTTAGCAATCTGCATGTTCGCCCTTCTTCATACAATATCTTGCCTGTAATGGTTAGGATGAAGCCTGGCATATACCTGACCGGGATCAACGTGCCATCTCCAGGAGGTAACACGCTGGCTCCGGCTTAGGGACGGGTGCTTGGAGGCGCTCATCCTGACGGGATGGGGCGAGGCGTGTGTCAGACCGCCTGTCGCCACCTAACCCACGATCTGGTCTGTGACTGATCACAGACCGGATAAACGAGCGCGCTGCACTGCGTTACATGCGGCGTGACGCGCTTGTCCCAATCGCAATGAATGCGGTTAGGTGAGCCCCGCTGCGCTCACCTAACCTATACACGCGGCGCCAAACCCACAAGGGGTCGGGGCGCCTCAGCCCCCGGGGCCGGAACGGAAGCGGTCCGACCCCTCGGGGAGACAAAGAGGGGGGCGGCCACATCACCCTCGGGCCCGCCCCCCCCCCCCCCCCCCCCCCCGAGGGGGTCAGGCCCCGTGGGTGATTGCTCCTGCCCAAGCCTCTAGTCATAATACTCCCGGTCCCATGTCACCGACAACCTCCCTGGTTTTAATTGGACAAGGGACACTTGGGGGTGGGGGGTTATAAATATAAGACCCTAGACGGGACAAGACAAGCATAATGCAAAAGACAATAACCCAAGAGAGATACAAATCGATATAAGCCACCCTCGATCTCGCGAGTCAATACGTGACGAAACTGACTATAGGTAATTGTCGAGCCCAAGATTTACACCGATATACTGCCAAACTAGATTAGGTATTCATCCCTATACTTCTCATGAGAGATTGATATATAATGGCAACACCCATCCAATAGGAGTAGAGCTATTACCCATGATCAGAGGGTCTAAACCCACACAAAAATCTCCGTCTCCCTTCTCTCTTTACATATTTGTCTGCATCCTCGTATCAGCTGATCCATATGTCCTTCAAATTAAAAAACCACATAGGGATGGAGATCGGGGTACAACCTGTCGATAATAACATGCTAGGTAAGGGGCGCTGGTATTCAAAGGATTTGCAAAGAGATGGCTTCAAGTAGTGGATCTTTCAACGAGGGGATACTTCGACTACTTCGGATCTAAGAAATATGACCCGATTGAAGTATGTTCCCCTTTCACTGGCCTGGAGATCATGAGGAAGAGAGGGGGAGAAATGGAAAGACGAAGAAGAGAGTAGTATGGAGAAAGAATATAGAGTGTATGACATGTGGGTCCCACATGCGGTCAATATGCCACGTCAACAAAAAGGTGCTTTTCAAACCAGCTAAGAAGTCTATTTGCACCGAATTCTAAGAGATGGTGGAGACGTTATATCCGGTTTTATGGTTGAGGGAGGAGATTAAATCACGAGCAAACGATAAGGGAGGGAAAGTATAGTCCTCCCTGTGTGCAAGTGCAAGCACAAGCACAAGCACAAGCACAATCTCCTCCGTTGCACTTTCCGGCCCACAATGTAAATCGCACATGTCGTTAGGTTTTCATTATGGGCCGAGCGGCCCAGTTAGAGGAGCGGGGGCGGCGCGTTGGCTTGGGTCCCACTCCCACCGAAAATTTCAATTCTCCCTCCCTCTCTCTCTCTCTCTTGTGTCGCTCCATTCCCAAATCCAAATCCAAAATCCAAAATCCTCTCCTCCTCTTCTCCCCGCCGCCTCCGCCGCCGCTCGCCCTAGCCCTAGATCCGCTCGCCGGCCATGTCCACGCGCGCCACTCGCCCCGGGATGCTCCACCAGAAGGAGAACGCCGCCGACGCGCAGGCCGGCAAGCGCCAGCGCACGGCCGCCGGGTCCGCCGCCCGCGCCCCGCTCTCCGCCAACGCCGCTCCGCCCGCCCCTGACCCCGCCATCGAGTTCGCCGGGAGGGACGATGTCGACGCCCTCCTCAACGAGAAGATGAAGGGCAAGAACAAGATGGACTACAAGGTCAAGGATTTTTCTCCTCCCCATTTCTTCTTCTTTTCCCCCCACACCCTAATTTACGGACAGACTTACTATTGCTAGATCAGTATTTCCCCCCATAGTCGTTTCTTATGGATCTTGGCCTTATGCGTGGCTTGCTACTGCGGATTGGAATATTTTTTACCTCTTTCCTAAATACTGTACTAAGTAAATACTAGTACATAGCCGGTGTTCCTTCCCGGCTGTCAAAATTGATGCATGTTATGTTCTCTACCTTAAAATGTTTAAACAACTTAAGCCACGCCCAGAGTTCCAACCAGAGGATTCGACAACACTACAGTGGCAGTAACCCTACTGAACTACCTGTAACAATTGGTTAGGTTAGAGGCTGTGTCATATGTTATGTTGGCTACTCAGTAATTTGGATAAGTCATTTCTGTATGCTCACACCAAAAGGACTAGCTAGAGCAAATACAAAACCCTCAAACAGTCTGAGACAAACAACTGTCTAATTTTCACAATGGATAATCCTGAGCACCATGTTGCTCCAAGGACCTGAACCGCAAATGTGTCCACTGAACTATATAAAATTGGACAGCGTCCTTCCACCGCCTCGGTGAAAAGATGTTCTTTTCGACTTAGTAGTTGAAATTTTGAATGTTACTTTGCCGCTTGGTTTGCTACCTTGAATGACTCATCATCTGTGTTTAGTTGTTTACACTGGCTGATATTTTCTTTTCCCATGCTGTGATTGTTTCTGCAGGGGAAGAGCGAGCAAATGATGGAATACATAAAAAAGCTACGGGCTTGCATCAAGTGGCTGCTAGAGAGGGAGGATACAAACCTGGCTGAGATTGGGAAGCTCAATGGTCTACTTGAGGCGGCAGAGAAACATCACTCTGAGATTGGTACCACCCTTTCATTTCATATCATGACACTTTGTGCGCTTGTTGATTCTACTGACTGAATCTATGCTATGTCATCTAGTGGCTCAGCTGAAAAGTGCAATAGAAGAATCAAAGGCAATAAATGAGGAGCTTCAGAGACAGTATGCTTCTTTAGAGGAGAATCTAAAGAGAGTGGAGGCTGAGAAACTGGTGGGTGACTCGTGCGTCTGGTTAAGTTCCCTCTTATTGCTCCAGGAGTGTTCTATGATTAACAAATTTTTGAAATGTAGGATGCCCTTAGGTCTTATGGAGATGAAAAGGAAGCAAGGATTGCTGTTGAGGCTTCCCGAAATGAGCATTTGGAAGATCTTAGAAGGATTAAGTTGGAGGAAAAACGCCTTAATGATCAGGTCTTACTTTCTTTCTAGAAAAGCTTATGTGGTTAATAAATAACTCTGCACTTTCCATTCACTACAGATTATGCTTTGACTGTGTTTTGGCTCCTTTAGATCAAGATGCTTCAGGACACAAATAAGAGGCTTCAAGAATACAACACTAGTTTGCAGCAGTATAACAGCAACCTCCAGGCAGATGCAACGAAGAATGGTGAAACAATAGCAAAGCTGCAGAAAGAGAAGAACACTATGGTAGAAACAATGAATGGTTTGAAGGACCATGCTAACTCTGTAAAGATGCAGCTAGATTTGGCAAAGGTATGATCTTAGTCCCGGCCTTTCAGTACAAACATCTGTTCATCTTAAATTATACTGCTGTATTGCATTGATTCCGTGGTGATAAACAACGCCTCTATTCCATGCAGTCTTCCCAAAATGAAGCTCTAAAACAAAAGACCGACTTGCTAAAGGAAGTTGATAATCTCAGGGGTGAACTCCAGCAAGTAAGGGATGACCGTGATCATAAATTAGCTGAAATACATTCCTTGTTGGCCGATGTAAGTACATACAAGGAAATGACTGGAAAGTCGGTAGCAGAATTGGATAATGCCATGACAAGAAGTACTGCCCTTGAGGTATGCTCCTGTGCTGTAATTGATTCAATGTCTAATTACTGCTATCAGTGTAGCTAATGTATTTTCAATATAGGAAACATGTTCGTCCCAAGCAGAGAGAATTAAAACATTGGAGCTGCAGCTTGCATCAGCTAACGAAAAGTTAAAGGTGCATACTGAAAGCCTCTTTGTTTCAATATATTATATCCACAAGCACTTAAGGACTTGCTATTTTATTTAATTATGTAGAGATCTGATTTGACTACTATGGAGACGATGACTGAGTATGAGAAGCAAAAAAGAATGTTGGAGGATCTGCAATTACGACTCGAAGAAGCTGAGCAACAAATTTTGGACGGAGAGAATTTGCGGAAAAGACTCCATAATACAATACTCGTACTGTCTCTTAAACTGTTCTTGGTCTTTTGTGTTTCTAGTGTTGTTGCTAAGACTCTTGCATTGCAGGAGCTTAAGGGAAACATTCGAGTATTCTGTAGGGTGCGACCTTTATTGCCAAATGAATCAGGAGCTGTTGCTTATCCAAAGAGTGGAGAAAACTTAGGTCGTGGCATTGAGTTGACACATAATGGTATAGTAACACTTACTGCGATCCTTCTGTGTTTTTTACTTTCATGTCTGCACCTCTTGGAAGATTTATCTCATTCCAGTAAATCTTCATTTTTCTTCACAGCTCAAATGTATTCTTTCACATTTGACAAAGTATTTGAGCAGTCGGCATCACAAGAAGATGTGTTCATTGAGATTTCCCAACTCATCCAAAGCGCCCTTGATGGCTACAAGGTAACATTTACTTGTTGCTGTGTTTTGAGAAGTGCAAGAGCACAACCTCGCTATAGGAGAGGGAAAAAAGTTTGTCCATAAAAGTTAGTATTTATAATTCGTGCTAACTAATGTGAAAACAACTCAGGTGTGCATATTTGCATATGGCCAAACTGGCTCGGGTAAAACATACACAATGATGGGAAATCCAGAATTGCATGACCAGAAAGGATTAATTCCGAGATCACTTGAACAAATTTTCCAAACAAGCCAGGCTCTTATTTCACAGGGATGGAAATATAAGATGCAGGTGAGTTCTTACCCACTTCAATTGGTCAGTTTGTTTGAGCTAACAAAGGTGCAGGCTTTCTATAGTTGTAACTGTCATGTTTACATTGAACATCTAGGCATCTATGCTGGAAATCTACAATGAAGCCATACGTGATCTGCTAGCCACTAATCGCACAACTGTTCAAGATGGTGGCGCTTCAAAGTACAGTATCAAGCATGATGCCAATGGTAATACCCATGTATCAGATCTCACAATTGTCGATGTATCGAGTATCAATGAAGTTTCTTCTCTCCTCAAGCGGGCTGCTCAGAGCAGGTTACACTCTAGTTCTTCTCATCAGTTTTTCAAATCTTCAATTAAATTCATGAGAACAGAAGAATACAAAGAAGGCAAAGAACCTGGATATAGTTTCTGTGAGCACATAGAAACATAATCAGGTTAGCATAAAGCCTGAAGTGAAGTTAGAAGCATAATTTCAATGAAATGCAATAAGTCAAAAACTAGCTTTATTATGACACCATTTTCAAAATCTTTGTGCTTTACATACTGTTGTGCTATAGAGTGCACAATAATTTAGCTGAATTCTCCAAGAAAGAGTTCCGAATCTGTACCTTAAATTTGCTGCCATACGTTGTACACAGCTTTATTATTTATCTGCAGATCTGTTGGAAGAACACAGATGAACGAAGAATCATCTAGAAGTCATTGTGTGTTCACGCTTCGAATTTTTGGTGTCAATGAGGTATGCGATATCTTCTAATGTAGGTCTTGCTAATGCCTGGTAATTTTTTGTATTCATCATTTGGATTGTTTTCTCTACAGGGAACAGACCAGCAGGTGCAAGGAGTGCTCAATCTAATCGATCTTGCCGGCAGTGAGCGGCTTAACAAGAGCGGTGCCACCGGAGATAGGCTAAAGGAGACACAGGTAATTTGCTATTTCACACCTCAGTTTTTGTTGCATCTAAGGTGTGTACATGGTACAATGCGTAACCACTGTTATGATATAAATTTGCTATTTAGGCTATTAATAAGAGCCTCTCATGCTTGAGCGATGTAATCTTCTCCATTGCAAAGAAAGAGGAGCACGTTCCGTTCAGGAACTCAAAATTAACGTACTTGCTACAGGTAAATTCTAAGCACTCAGCTAAGAATATCTGCAAACTTGTTCTAGTTTCCGTGGCTATAATGTGTGAATGATTTTGTTCCCCTTGGACACAGCCATGCCTTGGAGGAGACTCGAAGACACTTATGTTTGTGAATCTGTCTCCAGAGGTGTCGTCTACAGGGGAGTCAATTTGCTCGCTACGGTTCGCAGCACGGGTGAACTCGTGCGAGATTGGCATCCCTCGTCGTCAAACCCAAGTGCGTAGCTTGGCGCAAGGATGAGTTGGCTTGGACAAAATGAATGTCCATGACTAATTGTATTTGTGTGTTGTTTGAGGGATGCAATGGATCATTTGCATCCCCTCCGTGTGTTGGTTGCTTAGAGGGTGTGTATAATATTCTGATTTGGCATGTGGCTTTGTTGATTGTACGAGCATCGCATTGCATTACATTACAGATAGTACTGTAGTATCTAATTTGTGGCTGCATCAATGTGCAGTGGTAGTAACAAGATGTGAGGTTGGTTGTATTTTATTGGAGAAGTGCCCTGTGTTGTGTTGGGCTGGCTTTGTTTGGATGATAAAGACAGACAAGTAATTGGAATTGAAATGCTCTGTTGCTTTTTAGTACTTACTGAGTATGAAGTTATATTGCATAGCGTAGATGTGAATATGAATATGTGTGTGATGAGGAGGATATATATATATATATATATATATGTATGTATGACAAGTAAAGTGAGAGAAATACAGTACTAGCTAGTACACCAACAGAAACACTAGGCCATCTTTGCCATGACCTCCTGGAGGATGATCTTGGTGTCGGCATAGGAGGAGCCGATCTGGGTGTCGTCCTTGGTGCCGCAGGCCTTCTGGAGGCGCTCGAAGCTGTCGAAGAGGCGGGTGGCGAGGTCGAGCAGCGGGGGGCGCTGGTCGTCGGAGGCGGCGGAGATGAGCTTGTCGAAGTCGAAGTACATGAAGGTGGACTTGAGGCGGAGGTACTTGGTGACGTAGTTGGCCCTGTCGGCGTTGTTGCCCAGCAGGTCCTCCAGCGCCAGCAGGTCGAACGCCGTGCTCCGCAGCCTGTACGCGTGCGCCGCGTAGCTCGGCCCGATGTCGGCTATGTAGATGCCGTTCCTCACGAACGTCCGGCTCCCCGTCTCGCCATTGTTCAGCTCCTCTGCACACACAATATATATATATATATATATATATATATATATATATATATATATATATATATATATATATATATATATTGCAATCACTATATTTATATATTTTGTGTGTGTAATGGTAATTAATTTACTACTCACTGTTGACAATCTTTGGCACCGGCAAAGGGAACTCGGTGAGCCACCACCCATTGTTTGCCGGCTCGTCGTCGGTGGCGGCGCAGGCGGGATGATGCTGGAAGATGGTGGCGGCGGCGGCTGCGAGGCCGACGGAGAGGCAGGCTGATCTCCGTCCGCCAGTGGAGCACGCCGCCACGAGGAGGAGCAGCCTCCGTGGTGTTGGCCGGAGGAGGCGGCTGGTGCTGGCAGTGGCGGCGGTGAGGCCTGCTGATTGGAGATAAGTGGCCATCGAGGATGTGTGTCAGTGTAGCAAGGGAATGAATGGATAGCGCGCGATGCCACGAGAGGATGAGGAAAACCTTCGCCTTTGCAAAAGTGCACCACATAGATATTTCTCTCGGTTTGATGGGGCTGCCTCTCCTAGGGGCCGACAGAATGGCTGCATGAAGGAATTAGTCTAACTTGCCTCCCTCCTCTCTCGCTCTTGATTGAATCGTCTCTCTTAACCGCTAAACCTGGTATAATGCCTCCACCATCTTCTTATTCTGCAGGAGGTGATTCAGTGATTTTGAGTTAGTTTGTTTCGTTTTCCACGCACACACTTCCCGAATACTAAACGGTGTGTTTGTAAAAATTTTCTATACGAAAGTTGCTTTAAAAAATCATATTAATCAATTTTTTAAGTTTAAAATAGTTTATACTCAATTAATCATGTGCTAATGTCTCACCTCGTTTTGTGTATCTTCTCAATCTTCTCTCTTCCTCCTCTCAATCTGGTGCAAACCAAGGCATTTACATGTGGTTAGGGGTGGACAGAAAGCTTGTGGTTCGTTAGCTCACTCGGCTCGTGACAGGCTCGACTTGGCTTGTCTCGTTTGAATTTCCTAACGAGCCGAGCTGGCATCTTAGCTCGTTAGAGATAACGAGCCAGCTCGAGCTGCTCGCGAGCCTTAACGAGCTATGGGGTTACCAGGCCAAGTCAGGTCCACAGCTAACAGCACACATACATTATGGCCCATTGGCCCAATAGACTCATCAAAAAAAACCCTAGTTCACCTCAGCCTGAGACCCTGACTCCCTGTCCACCACCGTCTCGCACATATCGCATTCGCATCGCATCAGCGGCTTGGGCGCTCGGTGCATCTCGGCATCCGCATCTCGGCCATCGCCATCGGCGCTGCGCCACGCCGCCGTGTGAGCGCCATCGCCACCGCGCCAAGCCGCCGCCGCCAACCCCCATCGAGCGCCTGCCGCCGCCGCTCTCCGCCTCTCCCCCAGTGCCCGCCGTCGAGCTCGCCTCCTCCTCGTGGTCCAACCGTGAACTGTCCAAGTGTCGGCGGAGCTGTGAAGGTTGAGTTCATCCCCTCCACCATCGAGCTCCTCTCTGTAGTCGCCGTCGAGCTCAAGCTCGAGCTCGTTTTCTCCGCCGTCAAGCTCCTCCCCTCCTCCCCTAGTTGCAGACTTGAAGTGCAGGCGAGGTTGAGCTGCTTCCTATGCTCGCCGGCTATGTCTCTTGCCCCTAGCTCGTGAGCTTAACGAGCTAGCTCGAGCTTGTTGATGAGCCGAGCCGAGTCAACTCGATATCTATCCCTACATGTGATTCCATTTGTACACGTCAACAAGTTTGACCATGGTTAACTACCCCGTGAGTAGAAACTTTGCAACAATAGAAGAAATCGATTTGTAACTGTTTCGAATTTGGAGGATGCGATTCAGCACAACGCAATAGTGGAAGGAGGCAAAATAGACTTAAGCTATGTTCGATGCCCATTTTACGCGCACGCTTTTTCAAACTGCTAAATGGCGTGTTTTTTTAATATAAAAAGTTTCTATATGAAAGTTGCTTAAAAAATCAAATTAATCTTTTTTAAAAAAATTAGCTAATACTTAATTAATTACGCGCTAATACTGTACCACGGCGAACACAGCCTTAATCCCTGGAAGAATCGTCCACTACTATTAGCTAGTAGTAGAGTTATAGCAGGCCAAACGGGCGGCCCGGCCCAGCACGGCACGACACACTGACGGCACGGCCCACTAGGGCACGGCTCCTGTAGCGGGCCGTGCCGTGCCGGCCCACGTGCCAAGGCCTCGGCCCAAGCACGGCCCAAGGAGGTGCTGGGCCGTGCCAGGCCGGCACGGCTACTGTAGCGGACCGTGGGCTGGTAGCCGACCCACTAGTATATGTGGCCCATAAAAATTAAAATTTGAGGGGAAAAAAAAGAAAAAAGGCAGAAAAAATATAATATAAAGGAAAATATTATAAATATAGGATAAATGTGAGGAAAATTTAGGAAATATATCATAAAATATATGGTACAAATAGGATAAAATGTGGAAAAAAATAAAAAATATGAGAAATATATGGGAAAAATTAGAAAATCGTAGGAAAAATAAATGGGCCGGTGGGCCGTGCCATGCCTGGGCCGTGCCGTGCCGGCACGCTACAGTAAACGTGCCGTGCCGTGCCGGCCCACGGGCTGAGGCATCGGCCCAAACACGGCACGGGATAACGGGCCATGCTGGCACGGCCCATAGGCTGGCGTGCCGTGCCGGGCCTGGGCCGGCTACAGCACTGCCGTGCTCGGGCCGGCCCGGCTTGGCACGGCCCATTTGGCCAGGTATAAGTAGAGTCCTAAAATAGTCGTAAACACTGGTCATGCAGATGCAGCCGTGCAGGTGATGAGGAGCACTAGTACAGTACAGGTACCAATAAATCATAAGTATAGATAACGTAGATCCAGTGACATTCATTGATGAGGTTTGCGTTTCCAAGGCCATCTGCATCATCAGGTAGCTGCAACATGGATCCACGGCCTCTCATCTGCTCCATCCAACGCCCGTCCTTGCTTTAATTTGTTTCACCACAGAAAATACTCCAGTCCAACTACACCGAGAGAGTAGACGAGACGAGACGAGACGACACAAGTCAAGTTGCTTTTGCATTTGCATACGCACACACTGCCATCTCAGTGTAGTGTAGTGTAGCGAAGCAACCGGCGGCGATGGCGATGCGGTGGTGCTATGTCGGCAAGGCCACCAAGATCTTCTTCACCGTCCTGGCCCTCCTCGCCCTCATCGGTGTCGTCCTCGCCTTCCGCGCCCTCCTCCACCGCGCCAAGTCGCGCGCCAGCTCCTCCTCCTCCGCCTGCGCCGCCGCCGACGAGTGCCAGCCCATCCTGCCCGACACCGTCCCGCAGCCCTCCATGCCGTCAACAGCCGCCACCACTCCTCCGCCGCCGCACCAATATCCCTCCTTCCCCCCACCGGACGCCGCCATGCCCATGCCCATGCCGCAGCCCCCACCCCCTCTGCAGCCACCACCTCCAGCGATTGCGCAGCCCCCTCCCGCATTCGCCTCACCGCCTCCTCCCGACGCTCTCGTGCCCCCGCCGCCTCCTCCCGCTGCGCCTGCGCTGGTGACGCCACCGCCGGCGTTACCGTCAGCTCCTCCGCCCGCACCGGAGGCGCCAAGCCCAACGGCCTCCTGATGCCGCCGATTCTTCATCTCAGATTCAGAGCGGCTACTCTAGTGTGTCAGGTAGCCCGGCGATTCGATGTACTGCTAGTGATTCTGGCTAATCTTGCAATTCATTCGCAAAATTTTGCCTTGCTGAAATGCTGAGTTGAGTTCATCTCTGATGTTGCGTGAGTTGATTACACTGTACAAATAGTTGCCTGACAATTCTGTTGTTCCACCATCAAATTCATTTGTTGAATTTCAGTTATCTGAGGAGCATGACAGCGATGGATCTCATCTGTTTGTTTGTGATTGTGCCAATTAAATTACCTACCTATCTCGTACCGTACACACGACGGATGTTTGACCGGCATTGACCATCCTTGGATCCTGAACATCCCTTTCCAACTGTTTTCTTCCGTGCTTCAGTTGCTAATTGCTTTTCTTTCCTCAGAGGAAGTAAATTGGGGGATGCATTCAGATTCACCAAACTACTCTTTGCGCATCTTCTCCTTCCTCAAGGATCCAAAATAAAACACTCAAGGCATTTCAGTGTCAAAGAGAAGATGTCATTTTCAAGCACAAAAATAACTGTAACAGAAAAGTCAGCAATATATAATCTTCTCCACTTGTTGCATGCATGGTGGATAGCCTACAGTATGGCCACTACATTTCCTCTAGGCAAACACTAGGACAAAAGTGAGCTCCCCTCCATCCATTTGTTTTCCTTCATCTGTTATTCACCACTGTAAATTTTCAGTAACAGGCTAGTTTTCTTAGAAGTATGTAAGAAGGTCGGTGGCTTTACTTTCACTCATCAACTTGTCTTATGCACTTGAAGAATCAAAACAAACAAGCAGTGGCAGCACACATATGACCTGTAAGGATGGAATCATTTTTCCTCGCAAAACAACAGAAGCAGGTGTCACTTTTCATAAGTTTCCACCGGATGGATCAGATACATGAGCTGTACTAGCATTTCCTCTGTTTAGCTTAATCTATACATGTATGCTAGGAATTGTGTAGCCATGAATCTGTAGATTCCTTTTCTTTTAATGTATTTTTCGACAACAAATCTACCGGTGTAATCTCCATCAGCCAACCTGTATAATTATAAATAAAGCATATTGGTGGACAGAGGTTGAAAAGGTTTTGACCAATATATAATCAATACAACCACCATAGTGTCATACATTTGTAAACAAAAAGCAGGCATACATGCTGCATCTCCTTTAAGCATATTCAGTTCTTCCCCTGTTATCCCTCATAAAGCTATTCTGCACAAATCAAGAAGGCAGAAAAAAAAGTTCATTTCTTCAGATAGCTAGGAGCCTAGGACTAGGAGAATATATATAGTTTTGCTGCCTAGCCAGTGATACTCATACTCACAAATTAAAGGGCAAAAGCAACCACCAGCCTTGCCCCTAGCAATATAAAGATACAGATGAACCTCATACATAACAAAAAAAACAGAGAATGCGGCAATGCTAAACGAAGCTTCTTCTCCTTTAAAACAGTCTGTTGCATACTTGCATTGCATGAACCACTGCATGGATTGTCTGTGTGCAGTTGCACCATATATCTGCAATAACATCTGGCATCATCTACTAGCCAGATCTATCGATGATAAAATGTCGATGAAGACACACACAGGAGAGAGCTAGCGAATCAACTAGAGCGAGGCTAGGATAAGCTGGGTGGAACTCCAGTCGTTGCCGAGGTAATCAGTGACACCGAACTGGTCCGGGTTGATGGAAATGGATGAGCTTCCTAAGACGAACTTGATGATGCTGATCTCGTTGCGGTTGCCGCTGAAGTTGAACATGAAGAAGCGCCTCAGATGGGTCAGCCGGCCGGGCACGGCGTCGAACAGGAACTCCGGCGTTGCAGGATACTGCTCCCGATTCTCATCGATCGAGATCTCCCTGGGATGCTCCAACTGATCAACATCGTAGTATCACCATTAATTACTTGCACTTTAATCATTGATGCACATATATTCATCATGTAAGTAGCCATGTAGCTAGCTAGGATTCATCATTATTAGAAATTAAAGATGAGAGTAGGGAGGTAGAATGAGTGAGCGACCTCGTTGGTGATGAAAAGGTTCCTGAGACATGGCGAGCTGCGAAGGAGATGCAGGACGACGCCTGCTTGGCCTTGGTTTGGCCACATTCCCTCCACTCTCAGAACCTCTATTCCCCAATCCGGCAGATTCATGCTGTCCACGATCTTCGACAGGTACTGCATTTGCATTGCAATTCCGATTATATTCTTGTTATATGTATAGAGTGCAGAATATATGCAGATGAGTGTGTATATATATATATATATATACCTCGATGCACCAGCCGGAGATGGCGAGCTCGAGGACGCCATGGAAGCCAGCCATGATGCGACTCATGTTGGTCCCGACGTTGAGGAAGGCCGTGAAGTGGTGGAAGGGTGCAAAGACGTTGTACCACCACAGCTTGTCGTCCATGAGCAGGCTCACCTTCCGCGCCGACAGCCTCCTCACGCCGCCCTTCTCGACGGCGACCATGTTCCGCCCGGACAACACCAACTCCTCCACGTTGGGCGCCGACACCTCGAACGGCACCATGCCGTACCCGCCGCACCCTTCCAACACCACCCGCCGGACCGACGGGCTGCGGATCTCGATGCCCACCGTGTCCTCCCTCCGCGCCACCGCCGTGAACCTCAGGTGCAGCAACTCCAGCAACGGGCACCCGTCGATGAGGTTCTGGAATTGGGTCGAGCTGCGGAACCCCGCGTGCTCCAGGCACAACCGCCTCAGCTGCGGGAGATGGACGGCGCCGTCCACGTCCAGCCGCAACCCACGAGCGGCGGCGTGCACCACCAGCCGCAGCTCCACCAGCGTCTCGCACCGGAACAGCGACGCCGGCGTGTGCAGGGCGGCGCCAATGTTGACGTCGAGCCTCTCCAGGCGGTGGTGCTCGCGGGACGCCAGGCGGTCCAGCCAGGCCGTCACCCTCCGGTCGCCGTCGGTGTCGTAGCGCGTGTGCGCCAGCGACATGGACTTGATGCCGGGGCCGGAGTGGTTGAAGACGACGCGGTCGACGATGGCGGCAAAGGTGGAGTCGAGGTCGAGGAGGTGATGATCAGGGATGGTGGATGCATCCAGCTCGTAGGCCTCCATCCCCATCCACGCCTCACGCAACCTCCTCGACACTGCTGACGCGCGCACCACGTCTCCCACATCCGGCAGCAGGAACATCATGATGCACTGCAGGATGCATAGAGGAACATCATCCATGCACGCCATCGATCTGCCCTGTCAACCCAACAAAATTAAGCTAACTGATTAATTCCAACTTACCTGGAAAACACCAAATTTCATCATGTAATTTGAGATGACTAGTGTGATAACAAATTAACCACGCATATAATACTCCCTCCGTCTCAAAATACATAGCAATACAATATCAAAAAGACTAGAATATCCCTAAGCTATCAAATCTTAATACAATTACGTCCTCCCCTTCCCAAAAAAAAAAAAATCCATGGTAGAGTTGATCTAGCCATCTGTCCACGTGCCACAACATATATACCCATTGGTTCGGAACCTTTAGATCATAAAACTGGGAATGGACGACCTAAATTTCTAGAGCAGACCAGCACACGAAAACTCTTATGCATGTCCACACTCCGAGCCTTATGCCATCGCTTTCGTGCCCTCATTCCTCCTCGCCCCTTTATGGTAATGGTGTTTCCAAAGTAAAGACATATCTTACTTGTTGAGACAACTTTATGTTATAGTTATTAAGAATTAACCCATTTTACCTCCAAATTTTCTTCTCAATCCATTAGATTGTATGCCTCTTTCTATTGCTTCCAAGTTGAGCTTGGTGGTTGCACCCACGAAGGAAAACATCTAACATATGCACCATATCCGACCAATTGATGACTTGCTCATTATCCTTCTGTGTATCTATGATACTAGGGATGGACTAAAGCGAGCTTAGGATTTTAAAATGTATTCATATCTATTTGAATTCTACTTATTTTCTTACATGTATTATTTCTATTTGCCCCTAAAATCCAATGTAATAGTTATGTAGTTGCTGTGCAAGTCCCGCTCCCCGTTGCGCATCCCAAATTCCTACATCTATCACTGGAGGACTTCACAATTAGATACGAGAGACCTCATAGGGATGGCGTACCTATAGGGTTTTGCTCCCATAGAGTTCAGCATGTTAGGATCTCTCCAACGAAGCTTAACCTCAAGCAATTTCCAATCTACCATGTGTGTTATCTCTAGTTGCTTCTTCGAAGTATAGGCAAGGTAATAATGACAAGGAGATTTCAATACCATACATTATATTACAATTCCATACATGGTACGACAAGTCTCGGAAAGGAACCCTCAGTTCATCAAGGATGGTGGTAACATAAGGTTGAAACTAAGCCAAAATGACAAAGAACTCGAATTTCTTCAAGTACTACAAATGGATATGTGGAGAAACCCACTCCTCAATGGGAACAACCTATCTCATATAACATTTGAGTAAGTGTGTTTTACCAGAATACCCTTATTTTCCCTCAACTCATAGGAGCGGAAATGCCTTTCTGCCATCATCACTGATAGTCGATCTTGAAGCATGTTTTTGCTCTCTGTGCAATTTCATCTTGGGCTTGACTTCAATCCATCATCTTGGCAACATTGTGCTTGATCCTTCGCATGAGCATTGCCTTCCCTTGATATGTTTGGCCCCATGCATGTGAAATTTTACTTGCATAACGTAGAAAAACATCATCCTCTATCGAGCCTCAAATCCACATATGGCCAGATGATTTTAGTCTGCGGATGTGTCTGAGACAAAACACATGCTCATCATAGTTTTCGGTCAATTCGCTCCTACTCTCATCAAGAAACTACTCGGTAAATCAGCCAAGTACAAGAGATTCAGTTCTTTTTTTGGGAAAACTTGCCCATATTTCATTGGTTTTTATTGGTGTTTGAGTGGTATTCATGAAGGTCGATGAAACCACTTAGAAGCAGTATTAGATCGACGAAAGATTTTTGAAACCTTTCTATCCTCTATAGAAGACTACCTCATATAATCCTTGAATACAAAGAGTATCATTTTTGCCAAATACCATTATTTTCACTCAAACTCCGAGGACTAGAAACCCTTTTTATCGTCATCTCCAGTAGTTGATATCGCTGACATGTGTGCCTATCACCAGCAAGTTTAAGCTTGCATATTGTCTTTGTACAATGTCTTTTTCTGCTTGACAACCCTTCATCATGGCAACATGTTGTTTGATCCTTCACGTCAACATTGCTCTCCCCTTGATTTCTTTGGCCCCACACCTGTGAGACTTCACTTTCCCAACATATGAAAGTAGCATCCTATATATCGAGTTACAAATCCACATATGGCCAAATGCTCTTGGATGATTTTAGTCCGTAGTATTTGTTTGAAACATAACTGATGCTAGAGGATTGTCTCAAAGCTAGCTCACACATATTTCTCTTGGTTTTATGGTCGAGTGAATCTTTTTCATTTTTGAGCTATGGGCTTTATATGCCATAAATGCGATCCTACACTTAAAGTCTAGGTTGGGCCTTATTGGCAACTTCAACTTATGAGTTGGCCCTTAGGCTTTAAGTTTGAGCCCTGCCTTGGTCATGGTCCAACCAACATTGATACACTAATTCTAGAGCTGGGGCGCCCTTTAATCAGTTGGAGTTAGTGACATAGGAACCAAGGTCCCCATGGTCAGCGGCCCGGGGCGTGTTGGTGCTACGTCATCTCTTTCTCGAGCTACTGAAGATGGCACGTGACGATCACGGGTCAACACGTGGCCCTCCTCGAAGACAACGGAGAGTGGTATATCCGCAACAATTAATGTAGAGCCCCAAGCCCTTGGCCACAAAGGCCCATCTTGGGCACAATCCCCGTGCTACCCCAACAGGTCTCCATTGAGGTGGTAGGGCACATAGCCACAACTGTCCTGCTCCCAATGGTTGGATGGTGTAAGCTGTCTCGCCTTGGCACTCGATTGTCTTTCAATTTAAGGGCGACAAAACATATATCTACGCAAGCTAAGGCGTGAGACGTGAAGGACATGATGACATCTGCCACCCTTGTTGCCTATCATTTCGGCCACAGCTCACCCTAACAAGGCGGTGAGACGTAGGCGGTGTGGTTGAGTACCACGCCATTTGCCTGGGCCCACCAGTTTTTACTAGCATTTACCAAACACTAATAGATGAGCCTCACGACTAGGGCAACACGATAAACCTATTCCAGTGAGCCTGCGTGCATCTCGGGTGGCGGTGCGTGGCGAGCGCTCACCATACCCAGACACGGGATGGCCCCACGGGGACCCACCCGAGCTCAGAGGAGCAAGCAAGATGGATAATTGCTAACAAGACTTTCCATACCTAATGCCTATACACTTGACACCTCTTTCGTAGTTTGGTCATGTGGTGTTCCTTAGTGTATTATAAGGGGAGAGCTAGGACCATGGAGAGGGGGGACCGAGAAAAAAAAACTCGGAGAGAAAGACTCTGTGAAGTTCCCATGGTCAGCCACCCTCTGTGAAGTTCTTAGAAAATATGAAAGAGAGGAGGAGGAACACAACTAGTCTGAATACTTTAGGCGAGTGCTTAACAAAGGTGTAGGAGCCATGATCTAGGGAACCTTTATAACATCTTAATTTCCACTAGGAGAGAAATCAAAGACATATTAGGAGTAAGGTGTTATACTCCTAGGTGGCCCAAACCTGTATATACCCTAGCTCTCATCCGCTTCCACATTTTTACTACCCAAACTCAAAGAGGGGTCCCATCAGATCCCCGTTATCTACATATGTGCGCTAACAGTTGGGTACCCTAAAGTGTCATCCACCACACTGTAATGCTTGGAAAGGTAAAATAGTACAAAATATAGTCTCATAGGAAATTTTCCAAAAGGTTGGAGCTCTTGCTAAGTTTCCTCCAAAATTTCTATATGATTATTTATTCCATAGGGATTTCAAAGAATAGAAAAGGATTCAATCATTTGTTTCAAAGGCCTTCATAGGATATTTTCCTATAGGATTGAAATCCTTCAAAATTCCTATTTTTTCCTACAAATGAAAAGCACCCTAAATACATAGATTTAAATTATGGATCATGTCTTCCTTATTTTTCATTTGAGACCATAAGGGTATTTTGACTACAGATCTAAACTCCCAAGGAACATTCATGGGGACCCATAGGATATACAACTTTACTCCTATCATTTGTGCAAGAAGAAAATTATGTATATGCTGTTGAAGGAAAAACTATACATAATATGAGTATACTTGCATATATCTAGATCTAGTTACAAAGAGTGTGTGTAATAGGCTAAAGGTGAAGATTTTTTTATGTGTTGCTGTAATACACAATTGGTACAGATCTAGTTAAATGAAAGTATAATATATCATTCTATGGCATGCAGAGATGAATACTAGTATGCTAGCAAGATGCAAAATCATGGTGTAAAGATACATGGACTTTCACCACAAGGAAACCAAATATGCGAGAAAATAAAAGAAAACAACCATGAAAGAGAGGTGATAAGAAAAATTCTCTAGAAGCATAATACCAATCTTTCCCTAAGGTTAAACTTGAAGATGATTACCTTGAATGATTTCACTAGCTGTTGTCAAGCCAAGAAAACCTCCTGCAGCAAGAACAGAAAAGAGAGATGGAGATTTTTTTTTCTCAAGAGGAGGGTGCGTGCTTAGATCTAAAGCCATATAGTTTTGGTTGCTGAATAAATTATAAATGTAATGATACATACTTTATACCCAGCTGTAATTTATGCATGTTCTATGGCTTTTTCTGATAAAGAAAAACAGATTTGACTACGATCAAATGATGCTAATAACACACCATTAAAGAGGTACTAGCAAAGGAAGCAATCAATGTAGTGCATCTATTAATGACATCCAACTATACTGATGGGGTGGATTGCATGACATCTTTGAGATATTTGCTGCATATATCTATCATTTAATTTCAAGATTTGGAATTAATTGTACAGATCACCTCTGAATCAATATGTGCTCCTAGCCATCCAATTTATTTATAGTAAAAATAACTCCGCTGATATTTGATTACATACAAAAGGAAAAAAAGGAAAAAGAGTACGAGTAAATGGCCCTAGCATAATTGGGCTGGGCTGACTGCATAACCCAATAATCCTACCTTAGCATATAAAATCCCTTTTTAGGGTTGAGCCAACTCTTTCCTTCTTTGCCCTAGCATAATTGGGCTGAGCTGACTGCATAACCCAATAATCCTACCTTAGCATATAAAATCCCTTTTTAGGGTTGAGCCAACTCCTTCCTTCTTTGCGGCTGCTCCTGCTCTCTTCTCCCCCTTTTCTGAGCACGGTGGTTGTGGCGGCGTAACGCAATGCAGCACGACCCTAGCTCACCGGCACCAATGGATCCTCAGCAGCCGAAACCCGTCAGCTATCTATGCACAGGTGAGAGCCCCCCCCCCCCGTCTCTCTCTCTCTCTCTCTCGTCCTCCAACAATTTTAGACAAACTTTGATGAGTGATGTTTTTCAATTTGCTGTTGCGATTTTGGCGAGTTGCCAAGGAAGGCACAATAGGCATCATCACGCAAGATTCCTTTTTCTAAGCGCTCATGTTGTGGATTTCATGACCCTCTAGCTAGTTTTTTTGGTTCTTATGGATGTAAGTAGATCCCACATATACAAGATGATTGGATGATTGTATTCCATATATATTTAGGCTCCAGATTCAAACCGCACTACAACCGAGGATGATGGATAACCTATTTCTTCTAAAAGTGTTGATTTTTGATATATTCTATCCCCTCATGATGAAATGATGTTTTGTTTTACTCTAGGTTAGTTCAGTTCTGACTTGTTAGATTTTAAATTAATCCCTAATACGAAGTGTATATGTATTTGTTTTAGATTGTGGAACTGAGACCTTACTCAAACCGACTGATGTTGTCCAGTGCCATGAATGTGGCTGTCGCATCCTCTGCAAGAAGCGAACCCGCCAAGGTACGATAACTCTATATACCAATCCTTAACTTGTTCCTTTTTGCTTTCCATATTTATTTGTAGCACATTTTTGTTATTTGGTCATTGTTTGTGTTATCATTGGCTAGCTTCTCGTCACTTGGAGTATAAGTGTAATGGAGTAGTACGTGAGATTAGGTTGCCTTTTGCAACACATACAACTATATAATGTCCTTATAGCATGTGCCTGTTGAAATTTGATTGCGGCCATCAAATTAATTGATCTTGGATTGATAACCCGGCCAAGAGTTGTGACTATGATCGATCACAATGATTTATATATCACAACTATTGCATATTTGCATGAGGTGCTCTACAAGAGGAAGGAATTTGGAAAGCTCAATATGTTGTAAGTGTGCAAACCATGACAACCAAACTCAAATTACATGGAAAGCAATGAAATAACATATATTTGCTAATCACATTGAGATATATATCCCACGTTGGTCTACAAACACGACGATAAGTTTGAGATCGATATCAAACCATCCGAGGATGAGTTGGTCTATTATTGTAATAAAAGTGTGGAATTAACCCTTATGGTCATCTGTTGTGAATGTACGTACAAAGGTTTTATGTCATTGTTTAATGAAACTTGAGCTTGATCCATTTCCTTTTTTGGTGTAAAAATTATAGCATACGCATGTTTCTCCCAAACAAAAGCAAGGCATTACTAGTACTATTTTGTACTTTGTTCTTAACTTGGTCATAATGATTAGACTAATTAAGTTAAACTGAGCATTGGCATGGCATTTCTTTATGGTTCAATAAGCACAATAGCGAATCACATATTTGATTAAAAACTGAATACTGAGGCTTTGTTTATGTCTTGTTCAGTTTGATCTGAACATGTATACAATTTTGTCTCTTCTTTGTTCTAACGCATTTATCATTTCCCTAGTATGTTGCCATGTGCAATCTTTCATTTTAATTTGCTTCTTCTTTGGCAGTTGTTCAGTATGAAGCGCGCTGAAGATGAGGGAATGGACACATTTGCTAGCTATTACCATGCTCTCAAGCGAAGAAATGATTATTGAGTGTCCTTACCAAAATGAACATATATATAGCAAATGTGTTGAGCAATACTCAGAATGTCGTATCTTTTCATTGAACTTTGGCCGGAAGTGGTAATACCCAAACTAAAAAAATTAATGTAATGCATTGTTGTGTTGGACATTTTGAGATATGGAAATAATTAAGTTGTGTGGATTTGTATGGTTGCTCCTGATTTGATTTTGCAGGTATTGTTGTTGACCACAGGGCAACAAGTTAAATATATATGGTCCCTGATTGCAAGGTAATGCAGTGATGTACGTGTTACAGAGAGTTGAATGCAGGTGTTTTGTAGTCTGTTCTTTCCTATGGTCTGAATTATTTGTGTAGTATTCACACTGCCCAGAGAGATCTGATCACTGAAACTTCACTAATCAACGACTTTGAACAAGAGCATATATATATTGAGCATCTCAGCAATAGTTAGCTAGCATTGTATCAGTACATAGATAATCTATATAGAGACAGTGTTTACAATTTCGGATTTGAATTTTTGAAATTCCGTGCTTTATCGGTCGTAGGTCCCAGTATTCTTCAGGTCAAAATTTATTTGTACTTCTTTACCTGGCGAAAAATGTTCAAATTAATTTAGCAAAATTTCTTCAAATACTGAAGATCTTAGTCGAATTTTTCCCAAGTATTTCTAAAATTTCGGAATTCGATCTAGTCCCTCCTAGGTTTATGCATTCTGAAATAGCGAACCTCTGAGCACGTATTAATTAATTAAGTGATGAAAAATACAGGCGACATGAGGATCAACACTGAATCATGCTGAAAGAATGACAATATATAGCTCGATTTATTCCGTCGAGAGAGTACAAGTGTACAACAAATAAATGTACGTAAACTAATAATTTAATCAAAAGGAAAAGGAAAAGAAGAAGCGAAAAGCCTGCAAATTTCTCAACAGCTTAGCTAGCAGTGGCATGCATACATGATTAAGGGAAGGGATTAATTAAGCAGAGCCCAAAAAATAATTAAATGGAGCCTATAGTCTCAGTCTCACATGGCGAGGAAGGCCAATGCCATCCCTGCGGCGAGCGTGGCGGCGACGTTGATGGCGATGGTTGACGCAGCAGACGCGGACGACGGCGCCGGAGATCCGGTGGGAGAGGTGACAGCGGGCATCTCCTCGGTGGGTGATGAGACGGCGGGAGGCATCGCCGGGGCGGCGGCGGGGGCGGCGCCCTTCTTGTGCCTGGGCTTGGTGGCGGTGGCGGCGGCGACGGTGACCTCGAGCTTCATGCCGGCGGCGCAGTGGCCGGGCACGCCGCAGATGAAGTAGTGCTTGCCCGGGGCGTCGAGCTTGACGGTGGTGCTGCCGCCGGTGTAGGAGGCGAGGGCGTTGGCGGGTGAGCAGGCGTCGTAGCTGGCCTTGGGGACCTCCACCACGTCGTGCGAGGAGGGATAGGTGAACACTGCACGCATGGTACGTATGTTCATGGTCAATTGAGAGGTTGCTTCTTCATCCAAGCCATGGCCATGGCCCATGGATGGAATGAGAGAGTTGAGATCGATCGAGGTGCTTACGGATGGAGTCGCCTTGGGAGAACTTTTGGGAGACGGACCAGGCATTGTAGTTGCCGGTGGTGTCCCAGGCGCCATTGCCTCCCACCGGATGCACCGCCGCCGCCGCGACCTGCGCCAGAGCTGCCACGGCGACCACGGCCAACAAGGCCGCCTGCTGCTTCTTCGTCACCATTAATCTGCTTATTGCCATATGCAGTGCTACTGCTATACACGACCGAGATCGATCGATCGAGGATGATTAATTAGTAGCTATATAGACTCTTTGTAGTTGCTGACACTTACTGTGTGGGCTGTGCAGGACTGCAGGCAGCTAGCTAGCTCTTATATATAGCGATCGATCAACAAGTTAAATTAACTAAATTAGAGATATATACGCTGCATGCACCGACAGATGATGCACGAAGACTTCAAATTTGCGGTTATGTGGGAGTTGGTGGGCATACATTGACCAGAAATTCTAAGGGCCCCTTTGAATCGCAGGATTGAGAAAACGTAGGAATAGGAAAAACGTAGGATTTTGATAGGAATGTAAGTGTAAAACAAAGGATTGCAAAACACAGGAAAAATACAGGAATGACCGTTTGATTGAACCACAGGAAAAACACAGGAATTGGATGAAAGAGATAGACTCAAAGGAAAGTTAGCAAGAGGTTGAAGCTCTTGCTAAATTTCCTCCAAAATCTCTTTAGGACTGTCCATTCCATAGGAATTTCAAAGGATTGGATAGGATTCAATCCTTTGTTTCAAAGGGCTTCATAGGAAATTTTCCTATAGGATTGAAAACCTCTCAAATTCCAATGTTTTTCCTCCAAATCAAAGGGGCCCTAATGTTAATTACTCGCTCGCTGAATTGCATAAACAACACACCACACCACACTAATACTATAATCATGCATGCATGCATCATCTTCCGCCCGGCTTCCATTTCTTCCTTCCTTCCTTAAAGGAAGGCAGGCAGCCAATGATCAATCCATGTGCATGCTTTAACATGATATATATAATATGCCGCCTATATCATACCAATTACACCAAATTAAACCATTAAAATATAATCCCCTTAACAACAATATAAAAGTATATACTAATAACAATATTCACACACATATTTATATATTTACATCTTGATAGTTCACTACTCCACCAGCCGTTTGGTTCTGACATAACATACTATATCTATATGTCTACGTGTTAACTTCAAACCGAACCCAACGCGCTAACAGAGACCAAACTAAGAGTAATAAAAAACATATCAGCGTGTTCTTTTGTTTACATGTTCCCACGTAACTTATTTTGTCAGCTATAGTTAGTTCATGTCTTCCACAATCTACGCTGAAAATTAATTAATTATATAATTGTCCTAATTACTGTGTTAGCCTGTATACATGCGTCGTTCTAACATTCCCATAGGCTTAAACAGGTCCCAATCCTAAAGTTATGAAATTTTAGATGAAAATGGGGCTCCAACAGTCCCCTATAATCAATGCCCAAAATTTAGAATTCTCATATCTTTTTTTCGCTCTCCATAACTCGGGAGCACGCAGCGACTTCCAACTTCAAATTGGTGGATTGCGCGAAGGGGAGGGGGAGGCGCCAATCGTGCAAGGGGGTAGGGGGACCGACCGTACCAAGGAGAATTGGAGGTGACTTTACTTTTTATTTTAGGGGGTTAATTTTAGGTAATCTATTGGAGATAAGATTTTTCTTAAATCCATATTAGAGATTCTTAAAAGGATATTTTGTATTTAGAATTTGAGAGTACTGTTGATGATGCTCTTAACAAGCTTAAATTGTAGACGTCTTACGTTGTCGTAGTTGTCAATCAGGTCATAGTTGTTGTTTGTGGATACCCTTCTAATTCAAACAAAAGACTAAATTAACGGTGCAAAAATGACCAATTAATACATTCACTTGTACTTCAACAGAGGAGTCGATTGAACTTATATATACAAAGTGAGATGCAATATTCCCATTTTCAGAATAGCTTAGCTATCGTGCAACTTGTTAATGACTACTGCAAGTGTAGAGTTAGGTCGTTGATTATAATTAAGCACCCAATTAATAGCACGAATTACGAGCCTTGCATTCGTTGGCATCATAACAATAAGAGATTGATCATGCATGTGAGTGGGGGCGCTACTGCATTGGCATGTCTCAACTCTGTGAGATGCATGGTTGCTACTAGTAGTTAGAGCAGGTACAATAGCAGACTATTAGCCAGCTATAAACATATTTTAATGAGGTAAATGATGAGAGAGAAAAGCAGCGGACTACAGATCTATAGCCAGCTGCAGCACGGACTCCAAGACACAATGTATGTATGACATGTGGGACCATATATTAATAGTATAGTAAGCAACTATTGTATAAATTATCTATAAATGAATTGGAGCTATTAGTGGGCTATACTATTAAACTTGCTCTTAGAGCTTCATTGGCTTTTGTGGGGTAGGAAGATTCCTCTCCAAACTACAGATAATTAACAATTGAGTTGTTAAGACAGACAGACAGGCAGCAGGCAAGGCAACTGCCTGGCAGCCTGGGTGATGATGCATGGACAAATGCAGTGAGAAACTTGTGCTCCAGATACATCCATACACACATATAGCCTGCAAAAACTTTAAAGTTATTCTAAAATATCAAATTAATCTATTTTTTAAGTTTATAATAATTAAAACTTAATTAATCACACGTTATTACCATCTCGTTTTACGTGAAACATTTAATCTGTATCTTTACCTTCATCTTCAGGAGATTCAAATACCACCTTAGTAGATACTGCCAATGAAGCATATACATGGTTAATTTTTATTTTGAAGTGCATGTGGGTCACACTCTCCTGTGTGGCTGCCTAATTTGCCTTGGTTTGAAAACTTTCAGTTGCAAACCCATTAATTTGGAGTTGAAGCTGGACCTGCAATTTTCTGAAGTTGGAACTTACTAAACAAGAATTTTTTTACTTTGTCATCAATAAATTAAAGGAGGGAGGTACTATTTTTAAATTAAATGGTGGTTTAAGTTGCTTGATCGATCACCCCTGCAGATAGCTAAATAACGGAGATTCAGGCAATTACATGATATTGGCAAACAAATAATTATGCATCCAACAATACATATATGCATGCATGCACAGTATATCCTATCCTTTTGTATTCATGGAGTTTAGTTTGTAGAATTACTGAACATGCAAACGCTGCTGAAAGAGCACATGACTTCGAATAATCCGGTTGAGTGAGCTGGCACTAGCAGTATATATTATGATTAATTTATTGTTGGAAAGGTGAGGTCTCTCATCTGCTAGCTGAACCGCAGAGAGGGATTTGGTCAAAGTTGTGTACGCTAGCTTCCTAGCCCATTCTATTTATAAATTAATTCGTGGCGTCGTGCGTGGCCCAACCCAACTCGCGCAACAAAGCCAACAGGAATAAGTTCACTTCGTGACCCTCAAAAGTGATCGAAATCTAGTCCGTAACCCTAAACCATAAAACCTGATATCTCGACCCCAAACTCTTAAAACCAGTATAATTTGACTCCCTTGACGGTTTTGGAGGGCGGTTTTGCTGATGTGGCACCTACGTGGTGGTATTGACCGAGTCTTCTTTACACGTGGCGTTGACGTGGCGCTTAAGTGACATTAGAATTAGAAAAATAATTCATTGACATGCGGGACCCACTGACATGGGGCCCATATGTCATTCTCTCTCCTCCCCTTCTTCCTCCTCTCTCTCTCTCTCTCCCTTCTCTCATTCTCTCCCCCAGCCTTTCTCTTCACCACGGAGCGGCAGTGGGGACGGCGGCGGCGTCCGGCGGTCGGGAGTAGCGGCGGTGCCGTGAGGGAGCTCGTCCCCCAGTGAGGGCGTTGTGCCGGTGGAGGTGAGGACAGGCTCCGTCCTCCCGGCGGCGCCGTGAATGGCAGAGGGAGCTGACGACGACGCCGTGGGTCGAGCGGCGTGGACGGGCCGCGCCGGCTGTCGGACGAGCTCGTGTTTGTGTCCCCGCGATCGACTTCTACTCACGGCGAGCAAAGCTAGTGCTACATCTTGCCGGAGCAACAGGAGCAGAACAACCAAGAAGCAGAATACAATTTCGCCTGCTATGACGAGCATGCAGCATCAGCAACAGTAGCTCTACTTCCATGGAGATCTCACATTGTGGCAAGAACCCTTGGAGACGTCGTCGTCGTCGTTGCAGCAGTTTCTTAATCAGGAGCAGCAGCTGCCGGATGGCCTCCTCGACGGCTTCGACGTGGTGGAGATGCAAAATTCGCAAATCAATCTCCATAGCAGCTCATTATCTAAAAAAATCTCCATAGCAGCTGGCCTCGTGGGTACGCCGTCTCCTTTGCTGCCGCCTCCTCCTCCTCTGTATCCATTTGCGCCAGCTCCAGCCCGAAGCGCCGCCACCACTCCAGCCCCCGCTCGTTGCCACCGCCGCCGCCACTGCTCCGGCCCGGCGGCACCCAACCTCCTGCCGCCGCCTCTTGCAAAAGTCTGAAAGGGAGAGAGAGAAAGAAAGAGAGAGGGAGGAAGAAGAAAGAGGGAGAAGATGACACGTGGACTCCACATATCAGTGGACGAGCCGCCGCCGATCTAGGTGCTCCCCGCGGGATTAGACTCCAGTAGCGACAGATCCGGTGTCATGATGCAGGGCATCACGATCTTGTCGCCGGCCGACGCTGCTGGCGGGCGGTGGGTGCGGCGACCATCGATGACGACGGGCGAGAGCTGGCTCCCTTTCCAGCCCACAGCCGTCGCCGCCGCCGGTTCCCGCCCGCCACTGCTGGCCCCATCCAACGCTCACAGCTCGCCGAAGGGAAGGGAAAGAGAGAGAGGAGGGGGGATGATTCATGTGGGCCCCACATGTCAGTGGGTCCCACCCATATTTTGGGTGAATGATAAATGGGTCCCACACACATTTTTTATTTCTAATGCCATCTAAGCGCCACGTCAACGCCACGTGGAAAGAAGACCAGATCAATACTGCCATGTAGGCGCCACGTCAGTGAAACCGCCCTCCAAAACCGTCGAGGGAGTCAAATTGCACCGGTTTTAAGAGTTGAGGGATCGAGATATCCGGTTTTGTGGTTTAGGGTCACGGATTAGATTTTAGTGACTTTTGAGGGTGAACTTATTCCAAGCCAACAACCAAAAGTTTTGGCCCAGGCCCAAACAGATGCTATTCTCCCAGAAAAGCCCAATACATACTTCAATTTGCACAAGCCCACTTTCCACATTTAATTAGGATAAATTGCTTGGGCCGACACATACATCAGATCAAGGGGCATTTCCATTACCATATTTTCAAATCCAATTATGT